TACTTTTTACTACCTAATGTTTTATTTACTTTAATATTCAAATAATGACAGTTGATTTACACCATAGTTGGAATTATACAAATAGTATATAATGCGTATAAATAGAGGTGAGTCTTTCTGTGAAATATTTACTGCAAATTGTTATCTTATCACAAGTGACTCTCAATTAACATTACGTTTTTGATATTTCCACAGATTCTCACAAATGAAGCCAGACGTACAATCTTCTAACATCATACAAGTTAGCTCTGATGCAAAAGATTTGTTTCAATTTCTAACAATCAATTTCTTCTGATTGGACATTCTATACAGTGCCTCCAATCCTCTCTCAGTGATTTTTTCACAACCTGAGATATCAAATAACTCCGTAAGCTCTCCTGATATTTTGTCTAAGTACCAGTAGTTAATATTTTTGCAATTCTTGATGCCAAGCTACTTCAGATTTTTGAGATTACACAAGGTATTCGTAATCAAACACGGATCAAATCAAAATATTGACATCTATTGCTTCGAGAATATAGTAGTTCATATGTTATTGGTAAATATGAAGTANATCACTTTGCCTCCGCGATGCTGAATAAAAAAACTTACCGTCCCCGGAAACTTTTCGACCCTGGTAATTCACCGGTCCGTGACAATTTATCGCTCCTTGGAAGTTATCGATCCTGGTAAATACTGACACTTGAAATTTTATCGACCCTGCTAACTTACCAATTTCCAGAAACCTAATTTACCCACTATGGATCAGTTGTTATTGTGTTATCCACTCTTACCGACTAAAACTGACACACTAAAGTTCTAATATTGAACGGCAGTGTCGCTTTCATATTGACATTTCCGGAGCTTCCTAATTGGACGCTGTGTCTGAGGTTGAAACTGCCTCGCGAAAACGTCGTGTACAAATGAACCATGAATATTACCGGTTATTACTTATCTCGCAATGCCAAACAATCAATGTATAATACGTGGGACAAATCGCTGTTCCAATTGTTACTCGTCCGCGAGATCACAATCGTGTATCCTGTAAACTTATCCGCGACATCTGAGGAACAACTTAGGAAAGATAGGTGATAATAGGATGCGACCAACTCCTCCGTTCAACAACATTGTATTTTAAGCCTTATAGACTCGGAAACTACAAGTGTTTCGTTAGTGCACTTATTTATCCTATAGATAAGCATACATAGTCCATGTTATGTAAGACACGTTTTACGATCGTATAACGAATATAGGATAATCATTAATCCGAATGATTCATACAAGAATACTTCATATTTCAATCGTATCATATAATGATATTCCATTACCACTCGCAGTATATAATGAAAGCAACATGCGCGAGTTCAAAACCAAGAGACTTCCTGTGATAAATAGTATTTTGATATTGTTTTTTTTTTCTTTTTTAACGTCTTGCATATGCGCTTCGTCGCGCGATGTTGATCCACATTTCACTAGAGATGCGATAAATATGTACGATATCACACCTTGGACTTTGTATGCGTGGAATAAGGTTCTTTCTCCTTTTTTTTTCTTTTTTACCAAAGCTCATTACTGTTTGGAAAATATAAAACCCCATATTATATATTTCACTATATCCTACAAATACAATGTAATAGTCACGAACATACTATAATGTCACTGTATTGAAAGTACTGCTTTATATCTTTGCTTTGTATTCGTAGTATCTGTGTGTGCTATTTTATGCGATTGAAATAAACACGAAAATCGAGATACCAATTAGTTACACTGAGCATACATTTCTAGAATGTCATAAGATTGGTTCAATCTTAACTCAAGATCTCTTGATATATGTTTCTCTCTATTTGTTTCTCGGTCTTTTCCTCTCTCGCTTTATTAATTTTTTTTTTCTTTTTTTTTTTTACATCATCATCTCTTGCCGTTTTTGCGATACTTTGCTAGCCGATAGAATAGATTTAAAACGCGTCATCGAGCGTGATCGTACGCACGAGGTTAACGTTCTTACATATGTACAATTCACGATCACACATAAGCGTACAATTTGCGCGTGACTCGTGTAACTCTCGCACGACGCTACCGGTCGGACGTTTTGCTCGGTATGCAAAAGAATAACGTGTAATCACTTTGCCGCGAAAGAACTTTACGTGTAATCGCTTCATTTGTCAAGCTCCAGTGCAGCGTATTGCTCCTCGTCTACCTCGGTCATCATAAAATTTCCATCCGGCAAGAGTAGTACCACTCTTCTGGTCCCACCTGAAAGTCAACAAACACCGGGTGGATTAAGTGCATGAACACAGAGAGTCACACATGCCGTCGCGTCGATGCCAGAAACATTGGCGCGCGCGCACACGTTCACTCTCTCAGAATCTCTCGGGTGAGTGGAGAAAGGGAAGGACGGGTAGAGAGAAGAAGACAGTTTTCATACCTGGAGTGGGTTCTTCGGCTTGTACCACTTGGGCCACAACTTGGGCCTGTCCGTCGTTGTCTTCTTNTACCTCGGTCATCATAAAATTTCCATCCGGCAAGAGTAGTACCACTCTTCTGGTCCCACCTGAAAGTCAACAAACACCGGGTGGATTAAGTGCATGAACACAGAGAGTCACACATGCCGTCGCGTCGATGCCAGAAACATTGGCGCGCGCGCACACGTTCACTCTCTCAGAATCTCTCGGGTGAGTGAAGAAAGGGAAGGACGAGAAGAAGAGAGTTTTCATACCTGGAGTGGGTTCTTCGGCTTGTACCACTTGGGCCACAACTTGGGCCTGTCCGTCGTTGTCTTCTTGACCGGTACCGGCACTAACATCAGTCGCATTTGCGTTATCCATTATAGACATCACCATTGAATTTTCCGCTGGTTCCGCCCCGTCCTCTTTCACATAAAATTGAGGAGTGAGATTTACTTGGTCCGGGATCAATTGCGCCACAGCCTCGGCCACAGCGTGATCCAACGTCAAGACCGAGCCGTCATCCCCTTGCTGCTCGGTAGTAACGTACACGCATTGTTGCTCGCCGTCGGCGCCTCGCGTCACCAAAAGCGTCTGTCCGTCTTCAGCCTGTCCTGCAACTTGATAGACGACGCCGTGTTCGGCTATAGTTACCAGATTGGACGCCTCGTCCGTCGCCACTTTCCTCTCCTCCGATATCTTCTCCTCCACCGTGGTGGTCTTGTTGTGAGCTTCGGTCGCCGTTCCTGTTACTACTGTCGACATGGTAACGGTAGGCGTCGACGCCGTTACCACAGTTGACAATGCTGTGGTAATGGACGGCGTTTCGGTACCGTCGCTACCGGACGTGGTTTCCGGGTTCGCAGTTGTCGCGGTTGTCGTTGATGGAACACTCGCTGTATCGTCTAAACAAGGTAGATCCGCTGCAGGTACCGTGACACTTGACAGATTAATCTGCGCTGTTTCGCCGGTTTGGACGATAGTGCCCGTGGTGCCGCCGGGGCTCATTTCGACTCTCACCATGCCACCGTTTTCTGTTGCGAGCGAGTCGAGGGATGGTAGAACCAATTCGGCAGTTGCGCCGGTGGTGGTGGTAGTAGTGTTGTTGTTGTTGTTGCTGGTGGAAATTGTAGTGGTGGCGGTAGTGATGTTGGTGGTGGTAGCCATGACGGTGGTGGTGCTAGTGGTGGTGGTGGTGGTGGTAGTGATGGCGGTGGTCATCATAGTCGCGTCCGACGATGTCTCGGATGTGATGGAAGTTGTTTTCGTCAACATCGCAACAGGTGTCGGTGGCTCAGGCTCCTGTTCCGTCTGTTGCTCGATCGGTTCACCGTCCGGACCCATTATGCGTCCCGTCAGGGGGCACAATGTAAACGGACGCGGTGGACTGTCGGGTTCGGGAGCTGTGATGCTATCCGGGTCGGAAGGTGGGGGCAAATCCGGTTCGCCCTCGCTACTGCTCTCCTCTGAGCCAACCTCGTGAAACTCCATGTGAAGTCCATCGCCCTCGGCTAGTTTACTCTCCTTAGGCTTGTTGTGCGCGATCGTAACGGGCGACTCGGCGGTAGTCATCACTTTTGCCGTCGCTCTGCCTCGTCCCCCCGTAGTAACGGCAGCACCACGAGCGGCACCTGCCAAAAGTCCACGACCACTCGGTTTAGTTATTCCCGCTGCCTCTTGCGCCTTCTTCTTTATCATTAGTAACTTTTGCTGCGGAGATAATGAGTGCGTCTTACCCACGAGTGACGACTTCGGAGAATGTTTCTGTATCTGTTGCACTAGACTAGTTCCGCCAGTTTTTATTACTTGTTTCGGCTGAGTGGTGAGCATTGTGAATTTCGGCCTGATTTGTGTGACCGTGCCGCCACTACTAGCGGCGCTCGGCGAAACCGTGCCGGTCGTGCTCACGACCGTGGTCGTCGTGCGCTTCTGCAACGCTTGACGCGGTGTTTGCGACTGTATCTGCTGTCTCGGGGACGGTGCTCTAACCGGTGAGCGTATCGTGCCGAGAACGCTGGTCGGAGCGGTAGCACGCAGAGCCGGTCTGGGTAGCAAAGGACGACCGTCCGCCGTTCGTTGAGGCGTAACCGAAGCGGGTCTTATGCTCGTAGTTATTCGCGGTTGTAGAGTTATCGGTGCTGGCACTGCGGTTACAACGTGTATCTGCTGCAACTGCGACGGATCCGGCTTGGGCTGTATCTTGATAGGTTCCGTCTTTTGCGCGACGACGCTTCCCGTCCCTTTGGGTGTGATGGACGACTTGGACACCACCTTCATCTGAGTCACCACTTGACTGCCATCCATCTTCGAGACTACCTTCACGGGAGTCATCGAGTTCGATTGCGACGAGATTACTTGCTTTCTTACTACGTTCGTGTTATCACGATTTTGTACCATTAAAACACCTTGCGTCGTTGTTGGAGATCCTTTGACCGCGAGTTTACCGCTGGGAGATGAATCCAGCTTGATGATACCATCCTTCCGCGACATGACGTAAACGCCGGAAGTTAAATTCGGCATCTGTTTGGGATCTACTTTAACGACTCCTTTAGCATTGGCTACGAGTACAGGAGGCTGGTTGGATGATTTTGCTCCCTCGGGCGACTGCAGTCCCAACGAAGTTGCCAAATCCGTAGTTGAGACTGACGCCGCTGCTCTGTTGGATCCGTTGGATTGGGCATTAGCACGATTGAAAGCACGTTGAATCACGTCGCTACGGCCCATTAATCTTTCATCTTCGGATTCTCCAGTCCATTCGTCGTCGCTTCCGGTGTCAGCTTTTGTTCTCTTTGCAGCATTACCTCCTCCGCCGCCCTCCTCCGAATCGCTATCCGAGTAATCGATTCTTCTTTTACCTGTTACTACATACGCGTATGCACGCACACACACACACACATGTGCATACATGTTAATGGAACGAACAAGAGATAACCCTATGATATATAGGCCGATATAAAAGTAAAATTGGTCGAAGAATTGATACGTACGATCGTTATCCTCGTCTTTCATTGAACCGACCCACTGCTTAACTTGATCCATCGCTTTTGATTTACTCGACCGCATCGGTCGTCTGATATAAGCAACATGACATTAACAACACAGCGAGCGTTAAAAGCCGTCTACCGCAGTATGCAGTAAGCTAATTGACCAACCATTATTGACTGTATACTTGGACCGTAAAAATCCAATTGATCAATTTGCTTATTACTTACATCTTACTGCATATTTTGCGGTCCCTATCATTGGAACATCGAAGTAGATCACTTGATCTACCTGATCGGAAGAGACTAAATACAGTAATGGAGAGAAAAGTTGATAAACTTTTTTTTTTTTATGAGTTTCATATTCGATAAGATGATGTATCTCCTGAGAATAATTAAGAAACAAATTCTCCTAATGAACATAGGATGCGTTCCGAAACTTGGGTCTGGTATACAATATATCGGAACGATGGTGAGGGGATCCTCGAAAAGTTAATTCTTTGGAACAGGCGCTTCACTTTTCGAAAATGAGTTCATTGGACCGTCGCGCGTTCCAACAGCGATATATATTGTATTCCAGATATTGTTTAAAAAAGAAAAAAAAATCCTTGTCACAACCTTTCGGTCTACCACTGTATACGCATGACTATATGTGTTCAAAAGATCACTCACCCTGCTTGAGACGCTGTGCTTGGTCCGGGTTTGCTAGCTTCGACTTTTATGACTGGTTTCTGCGCAGATAAACTCGTACGTGCCACGACCTTCGTGTTGGCCTGTTGTTGAGCAGCTTTAAGTTCCTTCTGCTTAGCGAGATTTCGTTCAAACTCTTCCAATAAATTTTTGCAAACTGCTACGTTCTCTGCGGGTTCCCACGTATTGTCCTCGCTGTAAAATATTCAATTTATCACCATTTATCAAAATTGTCGAGAAAAAAGAAGATGAAAAAGGAGGAGATATGACACCTACACCGCGTAACCTTCCCATTTGATTAGATATTCAGCGCACTTCTTTTTCGTATTTAAACGTTTGGCTAAAATTTTCTCGACGACATATTCCTCATTGCTTTGATCCACGTCCTCATCGGTAGCAGCTACTGTCTTGCCAGTCTTATTCTACAGAAATAAAGCAATTTCATTGACGGAACGAATGCAAAAATGTACTAACAATTTGCACATTGAACGATGCACAAAACCTTCGGCTTAACTGATGGTTTCAGTTTTGGTTTCTCTCTCTTATTGTCCATTTCGACCTCCATAGGTTCTTGTGTTTTCGTTTCCACTGTTTTTGTAATATCCTTTTTAGTATCGATCGTTGTATCCTCTGGTTGCCCGTTTCTAATAACTTTGCGAACTACTATCGGCTTGGTACCTGCAAAATTTCACCAAGGCGATACGTCCGCGAATTTACTGGCATTAAGAACCTCCTGTTAAAAAAAAAAAATCTATATACATATATGTATATTACCTTCGGTTGTATTTGATTGAATCTGCCTTGGTGTATCTTGCATCTTTGCGTTACTAATTTTTGTAAATGTCTGTATGGTTTTCCCTGCTGTAATCCACGAATCCCTCACATGTGGATCCATCTTACACCATTTCTGATATAATTTCCAAGGATTAGTCGCATCCTTGTCAGAACCTTCATGTTGGATCTGCGAATCTTTCCATAAAAGAAACGCCCATACCTGTGCCTTCTGCCCATTCTGTAAATAAAGGTTTTCATATATTACAGGATCATTCGTTAATAATCTTGCCTCTGATTTAAGCTTTGTAAGCCTGATTCGATGGATAGGATGGAATGGATACAAACATCGTTATTTTCACGAAAGTGCGATACTTGAGAGCAAACTCCCACTTTTGTACGGTGTTCTTGAAATTCCTCGATAAAGTGAAAGACACTGTGGCATTGTCCACATACTAATACATCCAATCGGCCCATTTCCTCTTGCGCCGCTGATGAAGTAGATAAAATAGAGAAATTAGATCATGAAATCAGTTTGTAAGAAATGATAAATATCTTGATAAGTCTAACAAGATATCAATCAATGAGCATAAATGACAGAATAAGTAAGAATATACATATAAATATTATGTATAATCGATACCTTTAATAATTGTAGGTTTGCTACTAATGGCTGAAGGGCCATCATCTCCCTCCATCCTGTTTATCAAATTCTTCTGATCCCTTGCAACGCTTATTTTCTACAATTCAAACGGTTTATTTTAGTCTTCTCTCTCTCTCTCTCTCTCTATATATATATATATATAGCGCTAAAAAAACACCAATATTAACATTCCATAAAGTATATATTGATCATTTGTTATGTATATTGCTTTGATATCAAGTCTGTTTTCTATTGTTGTGCACTGCCTACATCAGTCCTCTTTTTCCCACTAACAAATCTCAAGAAAGAAAGGAAAAGAGGACCTGCTTAGCAATCTAGTGCAGCCAATAAAAAAGGAAGAAAACAGATTCGATAACACAGCAACATATATATATATGAAGTAATCGATAGTATTATATACTTTGTAGAACATTAATATTTTTTTTTAACGCTGAATGCAAAAAACATGGTGTTTGTATGCTGCATAATATACATGTTCGCAATGAGATTAAAAATTCGACAAACATTCCTAATAAAGCACGCACACGTGAGAGATGAATATCTTTGTAGCTATTACAGACACACTGTCTCCTTACGCATTAACAAGAATAAACAACCTTAATTTCAATCGCGAATTTTTTATCGTCTGTCGTTGAAAGAATCGATTAACTCGTAGAATACGTACGTCGAAAATTAATATCAAAAGAGAAAAAAGATAAGCTGAGCGGTCTACAAGCCGTCAGTGGGACAGACACCCGCGGAAGAAATATAAGACTGCCTGGTGCGCCGCGTGCGCGGTATCGACTTCCGCGCGCACCAGAGAGAATGTGTGAATGGGGGGGAGATTAGACTTTCCTCACACACGGGATATCCGTTTTTACGCGACAACGTGCGAATCTTCCCATTTTTCACGAACACTTTGGAGAACAGAAAGTAGCAACATGTGCGCGCATCATCGCCGAGACTCGTCGGTGAGTCTCACGCATAGTGTTGTCCAATGCACACACAGCAACAAAACCGCGCCGGCAATCGAACCGGGAGTGTATCTTTTTTTTCTCTCAAGAGAACATTCGCCGCGCTCCATTCAATCACCACGATTCGTGCACGCGCGATTACACCTCGATCCTCGCGCGCGCACTCGTGGCACTCGCGCATCTCGTGCCATGCGCCATACATGCATGGCGTTGTGCTGCGGCCGTGCAGCAATGCACGATCCAGCGGTCGTCCTGATTACCGCTAACGTTCAAATTGAGAATGCATAGCCTCGCATAAATAACGCAGCAAATCGAGAATGACGCGGGACGGTACGTACGATTGTAAACGCGATCAGTCTACGAGCAAAGGGTGCAAAGCTACACTCACTCTCGGCCTTATTCCCGCCACGTTCCGCGAGTAGCCTCACGTTTCACGTTGTTTCACGTTATTTCACAAACGGAGATTCATTTCCCGACCGCTAGAAATATACATGAGAATGACGCGCGGGAACAATTTGCGAAACAGCCATGCCAGTACCGGCGCGACGCGACGTTGTCGCCGATGTGAAGCGTTTCCTGTCGTTCTCACACCGAGCCAAGCCGCGATGCCCGTCAAAGATGGCTCTCGTCGCTATGACTCTTTCTGCGAGCTACTCACTTCCTGTCCTCAACGTGAATGCTTTTCGAACACACCGTTGCGGACGAGGTGAAACCGAGATCAGATAAACGGCACGATCGGCTGAAGGGAATCAATGACGCTCACTTACACACTGCTAGGTTGACGATCGGCCTTAGATTTTCCTCAGCCTGGAGAATCGCTCGTCGTTGTGCGAGACAAGACGAAAACAGCGACCGCGTCGGCTGACAGTGGCGCCAATGGCGGCCGCCCGCTCGCCCTCTATCCGGTCTGTCCCAGACTGCCCCGGTCCACCCAGCCTATCCTGAGAGAGTAATTTTTGGCGGGAAACCAACGATCGCATCCCGCGACGATCCGGCATCGCAATTCGCGAATTTCAGATTTTCAGACCGTGCAGGTATTATGATGGTATGTTTTCAGTTACAATGTTTTGTTACCTCTGATAGACGTGTAATCAACAAGAAGTAGCCGAGCAAGATCAACGAAATAACAATAACGATACTTTTGGCAGTCTGGTTTTTCTCATCAAATTTCACCGGATTTATTTGCCCGTTTCTACCATTATAGTTTAAATTTAATCGACGATTAACTCAACAAAATTGACCAATTATATTGATCAATTCAGCCAATTGGCTAATGCGATTGGTCAATTCCTTTGAGTTAATCGTCGATTACACTTCAACCATGATGGTGGAAACAGCCATTACTAATGAGAGCGTGCTTCCCGTATCTAATTCTATATCGCGGTGTTCCCTTTCCTCTTTGTGAGATCCACTTCGAATCTTTATTTCCGCTCAAAGTTCTACGTTCGTTCTACGGTCAATAATTCGAGAAAATATCTCCGATCTGGAAATGACACGTAGTGGGATTCTGTAACCGACAACTGTCGGCTAGGGAATGTGTCGTCGCGCAGGTATAACATATGGCGAAAGAGCTGCGCAACGACACGTACCGATAGTTGTCGGTTACAGAATCCCGCACTACTTAGCGCGTACGTTACAAATGAATAACCCATTGGAGGAATGGAGCGATAGCGAGCGTTCGATTTCCTGAAGCGCATGTCCCGATGAGAATGAACATCGCGATAAAACAAGAAGGAGAAATTTGACCTTTTGTATGTGATACGCAGGATCGTCTAACCTCTCCTATCATCTACGTCATTTTTTATACCTCTTGCATCAGTTGTAACGATATAAATAACCTATTCGTACAAGGTATAAACACATGCAATGAAATGATATTATAAAACAGTTCTTATCCTCCATCGATCCTCTATTTCGTAATGATGAAGTGTTTTTCAGTTCAGAATAAATCGAGCTGAAGAATGGCTGAAGAAGAAGAAGAGAAAGAATACCGCTGGGAGACTGGTTATGAGAAAACATGGTATGTTTTTGAAACATATACCTAATGTGTGCAGAGACGGTGCCTAAAAAATTATTCTCATACAAATTTGATGCCCGTGATATTTTTTCAATATAGCATAAATGTATTATATTTATATCATAGGGAAGCAATCAAGGAAGACAATGGATTATTGGAACCATCTGTAGCAGATATTATTCTTAATGCCAAAAGAAAACGTCAGTTGGAAAGAAAACAAGGTGCCAGATTAGGCATGATGAGGCATCTTTATATCATCTTGGATGCTTCCGAATCAATGTCAAATCAAGATTTAAAACCAACTCGTTTCTTGTGTTCCCTCAAGGTATGATTATTCTGAAGGATGTGTGTTCATGTGTGTACATATGTGTTTTTGTACATACATGTATGGTTTGTTTGATATTTACTCACCTTAAGCTTCTAGGAGATTTCATTGAAGAGTTTTTCTATCAAAACCCTATAAGTCAGTTGGGTATAATCGTTACTAGAAATAAGAGAGCTGAAAAAATTAGTGACTTGGCTGGTAATTCAAAGAAACATATCAAGGTAATGTGTCTTACTTCCATTCAAGTTTAAAATATAACTTTAAATAGAGAGAGAGAAAGAAATACACTAATATATATATTGTTTGTAGGAATTGCAATCATTACATCAAACTATGGTAACTGGTGAACCATCTTTGCAAAATTCCTTGGAATTGGCTCTCAAGTCATTGCGGTTATTACCATCGCATGCTAGTAAAGAGATATTGATTATTGTAGGAGCTCTCACCACTTGCGATCCTGGAGATATCAACGATACTATACAAGTATGTTTTATCGTTTGTGTGTGTACAACATATATATGTACACACATATTGGTTGAAATTCGCCTTAAAGACTTCTAACGTAGAGATTATCCCAGAACATGAAGTCGGATGGTATCAGATGTAGCGTCATAGGATTAGCTGCCGAGTTATACATCTGCAAACGAATGGCAAATTTCACTGGTGGCGAGCATAGTGTTGCACTTGATGATAAGCATTACAAAGAGCAGTTGAGTTCACATATAGACCCTCCACCTGCTGCAACGCGATTGGATGCTGCGCTTGTGAAAATGGGATTTCCTCATCATGCTTTGCACTCCACCGCGACAGATACATCTATGACAGTATGTATGTGGTAAGTGTATGTGTGCATCCCTCTTATATGTCTCTTCCTTTAAAACATTCAGATTATTAAACGATATTAATATCAATAATATATTTTTAATCTGATATTCCAAATGTGATAATGATATGCACACATTTTAGAAATTACATTGCCCTCCCCCCCCCCTTTTTTTTCTTTGTTTTTGCAGCCATGCGGAAAGTTCCGATGAATCGGTCAAACTTATGAGCACCACCGGCTACCTGTGTCCCCAGTGTCTCAGTAAACATTGCGAACTTCCCGTGGAATGTAAAGCTTGCGGTCTCACTTTGGTATCTGCCCCACATTTAGCACGCTCGTACCACTACCTGTTCCCAGTTGCAACTTTTCAAGAAATCGCATCGGAAAGTAATCATTCATCGTGCTTTGGTTGCCAGAAAATTTTGACTGAAAAGGACAAAAAGGTAGTGATTTTCATCATTTGTATACACTGTCTCGAAATTGTGCCGAAGCATTGTGGCTGGTACATGAGAAAAAAAATGTGCGTTGAACGTTATATCAATGAAATATATTTTTCATCTTTGTCGAGGAATCTATGACGCGACATCGCATACAACAATGACGAAAGATGTTTCGAATCGCTCTAAATACTAATATATATTTGGAATGTTTATATTTACATCTGTCAACATGTACATCTTTTTAGATATACATCTGTGAAAAGTGTAATCAACCGTTCTGTTTGGACTGTGAGATATTTATTCACGAATCCTTACACACGTGTCCTGGCTGTGCGACAAATCCTGAAACGTACAAAAAATCTGTGGATAAATCATAAATTGCACCATTTGATGCGAAATTTTACACCAGCATCGCCAAAGAGCAACAGGAGTAATATTACATATGCTGTAATAATATATGGAATAATTAACTTAAAGCTCCTCGTCTCTCGCTGTAATTGTCCTGTGATGACATCGCAGAAGAGAGAAAACACGTGCGTCGAAAATTCTTGCGTTATACGTTTGAGTAAAAAGATACCCAAAAAATTGTTTCGGCAGTTTGTAAAATTGCCCGAGAACTTTTTCTCTCGCTCCAACGATCAATAAATAGTCGCAAGATTAACTTTCCTTTTAACCTCGTTTCTCCTGATTTTGTCAATGTTAATTTCACGATTATTTTTATTTATTGTTTAAATGAGAGAAAAAGGATAGTTTAACAAATGTGCCGAATCGGCCGTCATTCTGTGATTATATCTTTTTATTTAAACTGATAATGCAAGAATTCTTGGCTTGGTTAGTTTTCTCGCTTTCGACGTCATCAAACAAGGGTAGCTTGTTAGTGAAAGACTAAAAATAATGATCACACGGATCAAATAAAAGTATTATTCTATATAAAGTTGCAGGTAAAAAAAAAATACAATAGTTTGACAGTTTTTATTAATACTGAATCTGCCTTGTATATAAATGTATAACTCGCTTCTGTACTTGATACGATGGAATTCATACCGATACATATTTATATGTGTGCATATATAGTAAATAAAAAAATATGTCGGAATTATATCTACTGGTACGCAACACTTGTAAACATCGACTCCTTGTGTGATTTTACAGCGAGATGCCAATAGCCAATTGAGTTTATTCCTACGTAATAGTAATTTATGTAAATACGTTACTACGTGTTATACGAGAAGGAAGAGATTCGCTGCGATTTAATTAATTTTCAGGCGAAGTAATATATTTATGAATGTCTTGTAAAGAAAAAGATATATCTTCATATTTGTATTTCTGCGCGCACGTTTATTATTGCATCTGTGTGTCTGAGAATTGCACGTGATTTCGGTGCGGTACACGCCGCGTAGCGCACGACTCTGCGCAAATGTCCTACTTCAATAGTATGGTGGTGGGGGACATTGAAGCTTATTACTACCTGGGCAGGTGGAAAGTGAGCATCGTGACGTTACGGCATATTATTAATTAGCGATCGACCGTCGTTGCGATCGGTTCTAGTTAGCGCAATCGCACATAACGTTCGTCCTGTCAGTCGAGTTTGCATGCGTATTCCGCTCAAGATTTGTGTATATGTGTGTGTGTGCGTGTGCTTCTCCCTCATACAAATATCTCCCAAACTTGGTAAGTCTGTCCAGATATCTCGCAATAAACATTTTCTTAAGCATCTCGTTAGCGCAAATTTGCTTTGTTAATCGCTTCGCACATTTCACTTTGTACATTTGTGAAACACAATATCACAGATGTGCAGAGTGCATTTGAATTATAGGTTTTCTTAAGAATATTAATACAACACGCTACATTATACACAATTATTAATACAACTAATTAAGAATATTAATACAACACGATGTATTAACATTGTCACGTGTAGCAACTATCCGAAACGACCAACGAAACATAAACATCGATACATAAACATCGACACGAAATTTGCAAGGTCGAATACACGCCCGTTAAAAGTTTCGCGCGTAGTCATACGCTGTTGTTTAGTAAGATGTAAATTACAATCGTTGACACACGTTTTTGTATACTCGAACCGGTTTTACAAGTTTTGCGATTAGTTTGAAGATATATATCAAGAAAAAATATTGCTACATTGCGTAATGTATCAAAATTTGCTAGTATTTTCCCAATAATGTATATCTCTTCCGCGTACTACATGGCAATATTTATATCACCCGATCGCAACCAGTGATTGGTACAACTATATGTACGTATATTGCTGCACGTGTATTGGCTATGAAAGACGTATTACATAGCGTTGACTCGTAAGTAATATAATAACCTGCATCATCATTTCATGAAAAAAGCATACTGTTTCAGATTGTGTCGTATATTTCTCATAAAATAATTTTTTTTTTCGCGCAATAACTTTTTATCTATCGATCTCCGATAATGTATGCTAGAATACGTGAACCCGGCAGAATAGATTTCCCGATTGGATATTCTGCGATTAAACGTTACATTTTTCTAAGTTTTTGATGTTATTTTGCGGATAAGCGCGATACAAGTTGAATTATATTAAAGTGCGGTCGCTATCTTTAATCAAATTAACATTGTTTATTTTTTATCTTTTCATTTCGTGTTACAAGAAAATTTGCGTCAGGTGTATCAGCGTTTAGTATCGCATGTTGATGACAACGAATGACCGAACGATATTTCGCGTGAAAAAACACACATCAAGTTTTTGAACTTACTCAATATTGAACGTGAAATGAACAGCCTGACAAAATAGCAGTCAGGCTGGTTAGAATGGCACCGCGGTTTTTATCGGCGACGACGTTCGCACGGTATAAGTACTCAAGGACCCCGTTCACAGTTTGCAACAGGAAAGTGAGTTGCAAAAAAAGAAGAACGTTTAAGTGGCCTATAATTGGAGTTCCTCACGGAGAATGTTTGAATATTATTATTATTATTATTATTATTATTATTATTATTATTATTATGTAAGAATCGTGTTCGATTGTCGCGATAATGCGGATTATTTTTGCTCAGAGGTAAAAAGAAATATATAACAGAGAAACTTGACGCAATCAAGATTCGCGTTAAATTGTGCATCATTATTACTATACAATGATAATGTTGTAAAGAAAATAATATCAAGGAAAATGTCAGATATTTCGTACGAAATGACAAGGAGTTTGTTGAAAACGACGATATCTCGATCATGCTCGCATCGATAAGGACTGCGTTTCAAATCCCAAACTGCAACACGTGCACAATCTGCACGCATGCATAAGTCGTGGAAGATAATCTTTTTGTGCCAAGCGACGCTTAAACTACCAAAGCGGTCCGATTTCTAATGGTGCTAAGGATTAACCGTAATTTCTTCTCGCAATGTGTAAACGAATAAATATTTTTCTTTTTCCCTTGCATTACGTATCTTGTGAAAAATCTTATTCAAACTGCTCCGGTAAAAAGCGCTACACGTTAATCGTCGGTAGTGTTAATAAATATCTGCTCTGTTGATTCAAACGTCATGATACAAGACGGGGGCTGAACACGCGAGTGAGAGCGAAAAATCTCGTACACTGTAATTCTATCTACGATTATCGGCCGTTAGCTTAAGCTTTAATTAAAGGTCAGACATTAGCTGTAGTAAATACCTCAGGCACTATTTCAAGATATACTCACCATGTTTGGCCTTATGCATCCGTAGCAAAAATGTGTTGGGATTTTGATTTGTTTTATATGTAAAAAAAAAACGTATAAATATATATCGCATAGAGAAAGATGGGGAGGATATAATTCTCTTGTTACTTGTTGAAAAATGCTCAACTTTTTCACAAAAGCAATATCAATATGCGCAATGTACTTACATGTGTGTTACATCAATATCGTGATTCAAAGTGTGTCGTCGCTACAACGATTGTATGTTTTGTAACATAGAGTTGAAAGCATTTATCCTTGATGGATATCGTTTTCGCAACGCAACACGTTTACATACAACATCTAAGGTTGCATATGACTCGAATGAGATTTGTAGCTGTGAAGAAAAATTTATCATAGAAAGAATCCATCACATTGTGTCGGTTGGAACCATACAATTCGCTCAGTTCCCATCGTCTGGTTAATTAAATTTTATCTCTGCATCATACACGTGTGTATCGCCGTTCTTAACAATTTTAACGGTGTAGTTCGTCCTTGCCAGCTACGATAGGTGCAAATATCTCTGAACAGTATTAAGTTTTATGCTAATATGTGCGAATTTCCAAACAGAAGTGGAACGAAATTGATGTGTGTGGAGAATATAAGTGAACGGAGAGAAAGCAGCGTTTTTTTTTTCTTTTTTAGGCAACATCAAGGTCGAATGGAAGTAACGTTGAATTGGACGGGATTTATGCGACTTTAATCAACGACGTTTCTCCTGGTAAATTTCAAGTAAAAATCGAGATCTTGCTTCGTTTTCGAAAATCATTCTCAACACTGTCTCCGAATACTGTGTTATATTCAATAAAGATAAAAACTCGATGAATATCATCATCATTATACGACTGTATAACGTTTTCATATAAATTCGTTCGATATCTTGATGAAAATGCTTTTTTTTTTTTAATATTACCTGCACGGGGAAAAACGCGTTTCTTTACGCATCGGAAAAAGAAAAGATGACACACGTGTATACACTTGGGAAGTATATACAAGATCTTTAGATCCTCAGAATATAGAAGATACACGTATAAAAGCGAATGTATGATATTTTTCAAACTATTCTCCTGATTTTAATGCATTGCTTTTTTATGTATTTTTATAAACAATAATTTCTAAATTAACGCACACATGACGTGTGCAGGTGTGCGAAATCGCTGAGTCGGTCGACGGCAGCGGCGATATGACGAGCCAGCTGTGGAAAGCCTTGTCGCGTAGACGCATCGAGGAAAATGAAGAAGGGAAAGGTGAACTGGCACGGGTGCTCGGTTTATTCGATCTGACTGCGCTCGGCGTGGGTGCGACTCTCGGCTTAGGCGTTTACGTTCTTGCTGGAAGCGTAGCCAAAGACACTGCCGGACCTGCCGTTTGTATCTCTTTCCTCATAGCTGCCGTTGCGTCCACTTTTGCGGGTAAAATATTCAACTGCTAATTCGAATTTTTCCCCTATTTGCAAGTTCTACTTGTAGTTGAACCAAGTTTCCGCATAGTGATAATTGAAGAATTAGCCCGTAATTAGTCCATATTTTCTCTTCATGCATATATATCCTCATATTTATGTACCGTAGGTATGTGCTACGCGGAATTCGCATCGAGAGTACCAAAGGCCGGCTCAGCGTACGTTTATAGTTATGTAACAGTGGGCGAGTTTGTTGCTTTCGTCATAGGATGGAACCTGATTCTAGAATATGTAATTGGTAAGTATATTCATGTATGTATGTATATTCGCTACATCGCGCATGATTATTTTCCTCTGCCTTCTCAAATTAATAATTCACACATTTACATGGTTATTTGAAAAATGGTACAGAATTTTTGCTTCACGTTAATTTAAACTAAAAGTATATGATGAATGAGACACTTAGCGACAGACATTCTGTGTGTGTGTGTGTGTGTGTGTGTGTGTAATGAGAAGAATCGAATTGTTACTTGCGTGATGTACAATATATTACAGAGAAATGATGTTGTTTGACAGGTACAGCGAGCGTAGCTCGAGGTCTCAGTAATTACATCGATGTGTTGATAGGGAATGTCATTGGTAATACCATGCGTTCCCTCATGCCTATAAATGTCACCTTCTTATCCCAGTATCCGGATTTCTTTGCTTTTGGAATGGTAATGCTACTGGTAGCGCTATTGTGTGTAGGGGTGAGGGAATCGTCAATTTTAAATAACGTATTCACCGTTGTAAATTTGACGACGATCGCGATCGTTATTATCGCAGGATCGATAAAAGGTAAGAGAATTGCGTGCGAGTCAACCGTATGATATTCGAGAATCTCTCTCCAGAAGTCAGAAGAGGAGAACGATTAAGTCGATTGTTATTTCTCTGAAAGCGACGACCGTGGGAACAACGGTTTTTTTTTTTTTTGTAGAGGGGCATTTCTTCTTTCTCCCCACGCGAGACTAATCGTCCTCTTGTTCTTCCTGCAAGGTTTTCGCTTACACAATGATTGATCGATCGATATTACGCGCGTGATATACTTGCAGCAAATCCATCAAATTGGTCGATCGCGTCCGAGAATATTCCAGATACTGTGATGAACGGCGGGACCGGTGGATTCATGCCGTTCGGTGTTGGCGGAGTAATGATCGGAGCCGCAAAGTGTTTTTACGGATTCGTAGGATTCGACGCCGTCGCTACCACCGGCGAGGAAGCGAAGAATCCTCAGCGTCATATTCCTCAAGCGATCGTGCTATCTTTAATCATTATATTCGTAGCGTATTTCAGCATCTCCACAGTCCTAACAATGATGTTGCCTTATTACGCTCAGGTATTATCCGATCAGATTCTACGCTATTGATTACGCGGAATGTTAGACCTCAAAACTTTGACTCGACGGAGGAGGATCGTAAAGAAAAGTGAATTCGTGTTTAGAATGCGGATGCGCCGTTTCCGCACGCATTCGACGAGATTGGATGGCCTGCTATTAAATGGATTGTCAACATAGGTGCGATATTCGCGCTGTGTACCAGTCTTTTGGGTTCTATGTTCCCATTGCCCCGCGTACTGTACGCCATGGCTAGCGATGGAATAATATTCAAAATTCTCTCTAAAGTGCATCCGAAAACTATGACGCCTATATATGGCACGATGCTCTCTGGTCTGCTTATCGGTCAGTGTACACATGCCGATGAATGTGTAATCATCATACGTCTCCTTTTCGATCAAGTTCCTGTTCTACATTACAGGTTTTATGACGCTCATTTTTAATCTACAACAATTGATCGACATGATGTCTATCGGTACTTTACTCGCATATACAATAGTAGCGATATGCGTGTTAGTGTTGAGGTAACGTAATCATCGCGTGCGCGCTGTATCGTTCGTGCGTTTTTGTAAGTTTTCAGCGTGGAACTGTGATAAATCATCCAGAATATATATATATATATATATTTCTTTTTTCTTTCTGTTATAGATATCAAAAAGAAAAGAATTCTGCTGCGCTATCGACGAGTAATTATCAACTTACACTTGTTGATTTATTTAAAGAATTATTTAATTTGCACAATCAGAAAGTACCGACGGAGCTTTCCAACAAGATTGCCAATATCAGCATCGCTTTACTCTGTGAGTTTCTCCGTGTTGGATTATAATATCGTATAAGGATATTGTGTAACGCTGGCCCATACACTACGCCTTTAGATATTTTAGATAGACGAATTGTGCGCGTAATTTGCGATAATTAATCGTTACAGGTATTATTATATGTATTATCGCGTATTTGATCAGTAAGATGGGCACACAATTAATCGCTGGAGACGTTACAATATCTGTGATACTGGTTATTCTCGTGATTGCCCTTTTTTTGAATATAACTGCGATCGGTAGGCAACCGATGCAGAAGATTGAGCAGCTCTCTTTCAAGGTAAGAACATGTATGCTGAAGGTATATATTTCATTGTGTCATCACAACGCGCGATGTATAATAACTTGAAAAATTATCAGTATTAAAATAACACGTGTATGATATAGGTACCTCTCGTCCCACTTATCCCATGTCTTAGTATTTTTACAAATATATACTTGATGTTGCAATTAGACGTTTTTACATGGATTAGATTTGCCGTTTGGTTGTTAATCGGTAAGTAAACTCGCGCGTTCAATAAAAAGAATAATGCAAAACATCCGTGTTATTCAAAAGTTGACAATTTATTTGTGTGTACAGGTTTTTGCATTTATGGTTTTTACGGAATTACTCATAGTGAACAAGGGAAAAGAAATAAGGCGGATGATGACAAGTTGCAACAAAAGTATGTGGAGAAATTTAGAATATTGATCACATATCCGTAGAAATGTATACGAAATGAGATGAAAGAATGGAAAGGGGATGAAATTTCAGATGTTGAAATTTCGTTTCGACCTTATATGCCGGAACAGAATAACTGAAGAAGACAATTTTACATAACAGACTTGCACGTTAAAAAAACTTTGATGTAAAAGACGATGCAAGTACGAGTGTGTTGCGCCCAGTCATATTAATATATGCAGGTAAAGCACACGCATGTCTTTTGTTTTTTGCGAATTTGTTTTCAAGCGCCCACATGTTTTCTTTCTAGCGAAAATATAATGAAAAAAATGTGATCTCTTTTTTCTTTTTTAATACATTTTTGCGCCACGTTCATGTTTGATGCATTAAGTTTCATATATCGTGCGATAATAATTGCATCATGTGATGTAATGAAGGTATACACGCGCGCACATAACGTACGTACACACACGCTTTATTATACGACATTTATTTATAAAATAGAAGTAATATACTCTTCTTACATCGGCAAACGCAATATAAAATACTTTGGTACAGAATAATGATATAATCGCGATATATTAATGTAACGCAATTGAGAACACTCATAAATAGATTACTTATTTTACATCGATGTGTTTTAGATTCTTAACCAGCATCGCTTAGCATACTAAATATAGCAGCAATAAAAAATCAAATTGATGACTTTTGTGTGTGTGTGTGTGTGTTTGTGTGTGTGTGTGTGTGGTGTGCGCGTGTGCATGCGCCTCAGAAAGATTTTATTATAAATTATACGGAGATTATCAGTTATTATTACCGAGATTTGGTATGATCTTTACGAATTATTTAGGATAAAGAATTAATACTATATTAATATATGAGATGGTAATATATAGATTTATATAGACATTTCAGATTACAAAAATCAATGAAATTGGCATCTTGACATTATGCGTTGCTTTTCACGCGCTGGAATATCTCTTATATCACAAAATAGTTTTACTACACTTTTATGTAAGTATTTTGTGCTATTACGCGCTAATCATAGATGCTAGTTACTCGACTTTCCTCTTTCATATCCTAGTAATACTAGAAAAATAACAAAGTGTATAACAATTCTTATTCTATCTTGTAAGCATACTTTGACGGAAATAATAATTTACGTGATCATATCCCAATTTAAAAATTATGTATATATAAATATTTGCTGTGTATATATGTTCTACTTAACATTACCATCTTAGATAGAGTTCTTTTAATGTTCACTATATACTCCAAAAAATTCTTAGCTTACAGAAGAAATCTTTAATACGGTAATATTTTCAATCTTTAAGTAAATCATTGTATATAATTGATGATTAAAGATTAGCAATACAATCAGCATAGACTACATAGACGCGCGTTTATATACGCACGTTTATACACACATAACATTATATATTACAAGGCAATCACACAAAATTGCAAAGTACTTTATGTTAGCATAGCCAAAAGCTTTGATTTATCGCAGTCATTTCGTCTTATTCGCACAAGCCCTCCGAGACTTATATTTTGCCAGTTTGCCTGTCAAGAATAAAATTGATAATTTACTTATTGAGAATATTAAGAAAAATATCTGTGTGTGTGTATGTGTTATTATTTATTAAAAAGATATTTTATTCGATCTTGTTATATAATTATTTACATTACGCATTCTTCATGTCTAATACCGTAATCTTAAACTAGCTTGTTTGAATTTACTTACTCCTATACCAGTTACCCATCCAGTTCCAGCTGGATTTTCATGGGTAACACCAATTCTTCGGCAGATAATGCCAGCTCCTGAGGTGACCCAAACTTGTCCCTGTTCTTTCGAAACGGATACATGTCGGAATCCTTGCTTAGCATTCGCCACTGACATATCTAAATGAATTAATTGAAAAGATAATATGTACCATAAAAACCACTTAAAAAGGAAGACGAGAGAGAATGATACCTATATGGATGGGATCATTTGGCATAGCAGGCAACGTTTGCCAATGAGTTCCTTCGGGAAAAACATTCGATTGTACGTCTCGACGCACTGACAATCTACCCGTTGTATCCAAGGCCCACACTACATCGTATCCCACCGAAATCTGCTTCAACTGTGCCCCTGAGGGTGGTTCAACATTTTGCCATTGTATACCTAAATTGTTCGACATTGATTACAACCTGAATTACGATTTGAAGCGGTTATATAGCTTTGATTCTTCAGAAAATTTTATACCGGTCGGTTTCGCAGCACTGATGCCCAATCTCCAACAGGAAGAGCCATTTTTCCCGACGGCCCAAACTTGTCCACACGGACCACACGATATACTGATTAACGGTTGATCGCTTGGTATATGTTCCCACGACACTCCCTGTTTAGAGTGTTTACAGTACGTTAATTTGATTTGTGGCGAAAAAAAAAAAAAAACTGTCGACGTTCATCAACGACTACTACTCATTGAAAGATAAGGTTTCTACTGAAACGCTTGATGTTATATATACGCGATGATAAAAGAAAGTAAGAAAAAGAATAAAGTATTTCATACCATCGGACAAGATTCCGACACACCTCGTCTGAATAAAGCCTCACCATTCGCAGCAACTGCCCATACGTACGTAGGAGCGTCCGTGCCAGTCGCCTAATTAAGAATATATCATATTTGATGAGATGCATGCGGCGACGACGACACCTATGGTGGTACCAACAATGAAATTATAAAGAACATACATATAAAGAAACATCGACGAGTTTGGTATTTCCCAGCTCTTGCCAGGGTCCGCTGGTTGTTAGCTGGCATCTTCTAAACCATCGTCTTCGTCGAACATAATCGGTAAACTGTTTCTTCCCGTGAAACTGTGAGGGAAAATCGGTAGCATATTGCCAGCCGTCTCTGTCAACACCTCCGGGTGTATGAAAATCGACGATCCAATCCGATACCTTTGGAATATCGGTATTTTACTTACACAGGGATAGAGGGATAGAGGGAATGATGCGACAGACTCTACCGTTAGGTTGATAAGTCGTCTTTGCTTTCCCACTTACCCAATGCCAGTGCATCGACAATAACTTGGTATGCTCTCGCGTACACTTGTGTCGGCCAGTCGCGTCGCTCCACATATAACGATCGGTAGGAAGTCCGTGCGCGGTATATCCGGTTACTGGATTCCAACGTTGATTTTCATACACATAATAATTGTGAGTATCCACCATAGTATTGATTCCGGTATTACTAGCACCCAAGCCTACACACAATAGGGAGCTTTTGCAATAATGTGATACGCTAAAATGCGTTCCGCTGTCGACACTTCAAATTTATACATAGATACGCAACACAAACTGCAGATTTGCAGTAATGACAGTGAATATCGAAACAACGTCATCGCGATTCAACTCGCAAAGTGGTGATCGGTTTGGATGAAATACAAACGATAAACTTCTTATTGCAATCCAGAGTTACAAGTAAACAAAAACGAATACCTTTGAGAAATGCGCCTCCCCAACCACCCGTGTACACCCAAGCGGTACTGTCGTAACCAATACCCCAAGTAACACCTGTTGAACATGTTTCGACTTTCTTCAAATGTCCGCCAATTTGTCTCCAAAACATCATACTCGGCTCGATGATCACCTATTCTCAAGTGAGAAATATCGATTAGTTACTACGCGCGCGCTGAAACGACAGAGAATAGTGGAATGTATCGACAAAACAAGTTTCACACACTTACGGATGTAGATTTGTATGTAATATTGCATAAAGTCAACAGTCCCTTGATGCGTAAATGCGTAATGCTTTGCGGAGATATTCTGTGGCTATAAAAGGTATATTCGCTATCATTAATAAAAATTCTATAACCGCGTTCTTCGCAAACGATATATAGCGTGAAGTCACAGCCTGCCTTCAATGGACTACCTCCGTTTCTTTCCTCATCACCCCATTGTCCATTCTGATATGTGTTCCGTACGATAATATTTTCTTTGAGTCTTGGATTAAGATGAAAAGCTATGTCGTGATTATCTATCACAGCTTTTTGTTTCACGAATGTTGTGGTATAACAAACCAGATTGAAATACAACCTAGAAATAATTTATTTTTATGTCGCAGTTGATCCATCAATTGATTCGTAATCGGGATTGCAAAACTGCGTTGGCCCAGGAGGGAACAGAGCGGCTGTTGAGCGCGACGTGTATGCGTCGCTTACCTGTCAGCATCGTCGTGAACACATACTCCAATTTTTAGGGTGCTACCGCATCCAAAACCATTCTGTAGTATACTCTCGAACGGCAAATCTTTACCGGTAACATCCATCTCTTGCACGTATCCGTTCTCGGATAATTGATATTCCTACATACAACAATTTCAAGCAATGAGAAAGGTGATGATCTCTGAAATGACACAACGAAATGATGTATATCTTACCTCTGCAATTGCAGGATCGAATACGTACACATCACCCAGTGCAGTTGTGATCCAAATCGAATTTGGACCGGGCGTACCGTACACATTATTCATCTGGCAAGATACTAGAAAAGGGGACGTTTCTGTGTAAAATAGCAATGTAATAGTACATAACTCTCCTCCTCTCACCTGACGTCAAATGTGCCAGCCAATCTTCCATCTCTGTGTCACTGGTAAATTGCAATCTGATTACTTTTGAACGAGTCAATTTAGGGGTATGGACCGCTATCCTCGGATTACCTGGCTCGCTGCAGCAAACAACGCACGTAATTTCCGAGATGGGAAATTGTATCTGCAATACAAGTATCCGAGAGAATCGTGTGGCGTGAGCGGCACAAAGTTACATATATACGTAAAAAACGTCGTCGATGAAAATCGTCATCGATGATGAAACGCACCACACTTGTTACGCCGTCTGAATTTAAAATTATCAAGGTCCCGGAATCCAACGACCCGGTATCACTGCTTATCCATTCCAGCTCGATCTTGCAATCTTCGTATAACATGCCGCCTTTAATTTTGCATTTAGCATCGCCAGTCTTAACCCAAGATGATCTGCGACAAAATTTGTTTTACAAACGAAATATGTTTCTCAAGGCGCGTGCTACATACGCACGCACACACTGTCGATATTTTTCCGCTTACTTCTCAACGGCTCTTTCATATACTATCGAGGAATCGAGTAACACTCTTTTCAACCTCGACTTTAATTCATCTAAAATATATATTCTCCATGATTCTCCAATTTCCCCTTGCCCGGCTGTCGTCCCGTTACCGTCCGTAATCCTATTCCCAATCAACAAACGTCAACAGACTGTGTCGTAATTTTTCACGTCAACACCGCGAGAACATCCCCTTCTTCGGCTCACAATGCAAAGTTGCTTTACCATTTCGGTGGATTTATCGGATCGACGAAACATGCTCCAGCTTCCACTTTGTACCACAACACGTCACACTCGGCCCAATATATTATTCCTGCACTCTCATCTTCGCCGTACACTCCAGAATCTCCAGTTAAATCTGGATCAAATATGCTCCCGTCAGTTTCTGGATGAGCTTCGACACCTACCATGGAACCGACAGAATGAACAGGACTCCAAGCAGCAGGATTGATCTATTGTAACAGATAATTTATTAGAATTCTCTCTTCCTCTCTCTCTCTCTCTCTCTCTCTCTTTCTCGTGTGCTCGAAAATATAGTGGTCGATATTTATCAAACAATATCAACAAAAGTGCATTTGAACCTTGACAGTACTACTCATCCCTTTCCCCGAAACGACTATGGACTCTCCACTTTTTGCTAAAGATTCGTTAGATATAGTTATACTAGCGACACTCGCTTCGTTTAGATCACCCGCGTCTACGGAATTTGCAGACCTAGCAAGCACAGCGCAAAAAGGGTTCACATCAATACCATGCGAAACGCGTTGTCGTTGTTACTGCTGTCGTGTATTATCATCATTATATAATCATCATTTTCATAACCATGCGTTGCCCTCACCTCTTTCTCTCTTCATTTTGATATATATCTTGAAAAGACGTTTGTTGGATATTTTTTGCGGATGTGCCATCTGTACGTTGCCACAATTTTAAGGACGTGGGTGTTGGCGCCGAACGCGATTGTTCTTCCCATTCTCTAACTAATGTTGTACCCTCGCTTGTACTGTGAGGGCGATTCTACGACACACAAAGAGAGAGTACAACGTTAGAAATGCCGTATATAATAATTTCATCGTAACGAGCGAGATATATGTGAAAGATACCAAAGAACTCCAGCTCTGATGACGTTGCTGTTGCGGTGTACCACATGTGCTGTGTCTATTGCTCGATGACAAACTAGCATTGCTGCTCGCTCTGCTCAGCTGAAGCGGCGCGTTTATTAATCTCCATTTTTTCCCCGTTAATTCCGAGCGTGTGATGCCGGTACGGTAATACAAACATCGATCATCGTGACCGATGGCCCAAACCTTTTTATTGATATATATAATGCGTAACAACATCATAAAAAGGACATTCTCGCATCAAACACGTTATAAAGTAACAAACTATATAGCTTTAGAGTTCGCTGAATCTTAATTTTATTGAATCTCATTTACCCGCATTTTCTCTATGTTATATATATTTTTTTAATCTATACAGACAGAACCTCTTGGTCATGTGAACTAACATTATTATTATTACCTGGTCATTCGGAGCAACAGACACTAGTGCCATTTTGCTCAACATTTCAACCCAACCAGTTCCAGTGGCCAACTGTTCGCAAACACCGCTCATTTCGCCTTTGATACCTTTTCGAAACCATACTCCACCATCGTGTGTTACGGCCCATACGGCATCAGTGCCTACACTAACTTGCACCAATCTTAAATCTTTTTGCGGTGGTTCCACTTCTGACCAATCGTCACCTTTAATCATTCAGTTTACAACATATTAGCGTTTACTATTAACGTTCAATTATACGACGCATCTTATGATTGATTACCCATTGGATTGTCTCTCGTTACGCCCGTACGGACCAATGCTTTCCCCGTCATAACCACAGCCCAGACAAGACCAGTCAATCCAACATTAATTTGACACACTTCGTAGCCGTTTACCAGCTTGATGGAGCTCCACCTTTGCCCTTCGGGGCAAGTTGTACTTGTCCCAACGCGGAACATTACCTAAGCAGTCAGGACGACGATTACACGTCACGACATCTTTTAAGTATCAAAACTGATTAATTGGTTACATCATCGGCGATGTGCGTTTCGAAAGAAAAGTTGTATTAAAAGGTAAGATAGATATATATGTATATATATACCCTTCCGTGAGCAGTTACAGCCCAGACTATCAAGCTTCCAGAACTAGTCCCAGGTATTTGATTTCCACCCACAGCTACATCGATGAAAGGTTCCTGAAAACATTTTTTTTATTATTACGTGCAGGAAAGTCTCGATAAAGCTTCATCTTACCTTAGTAGGATCTTTATGAAGAGGCGCAATAGCACACCATGAATTCATAGCGCTATATCTCCGATAACGTACCCATTTGCGCCTCCTTACACAAGATTTCCACTGCTTTTTTGTAGTGTACGTAGCTGGAAAATCAATAGCGTATGTCCATCCCTATCAAAATCAGATTCTCTGTGATCATAAGATTCTCTTTGGTCAAGGACAACTGATAACTATACATGAAATCTGAAATCTATACATAAACGAAACCTTATGAAGAACATGACTACATACTCGTAAAAGATACAAAAGATGCATTAATCATTCACAGTTTTATATAAGTATCAATAAATTGTATACAAAGAATTACAAGATTTCTGTGTCCTTGGTACATATGCGATTCTAAAGCTCAGTAGCGATTGTATAGGCTTATATATATGCACATATATATATATATATGTATACATATGTACGCACATACATACATGTATACACTTGTACGTTAACACATATTTGGAGAAATATGTTCCTCACAAAAATAATTGAGTTATAAGTATCTCATCTCGACATATGAGTTTTGTATAAGATAAAATAGCAAGAGATAAATAGATCCTTCTTCATGAAATAAGGAAGAAACTTTATCACACATGCATGCGCAATACATGCAGATATATATATATATATATATATTTTGATATAAGATAGAAGATATATAGTTACATCATGATCCAGTGGCTGGCCATCTAATGTCGTCTCTATTTGCCAGTCACCTTCCCATTGCCAAGCCATTGATGGTAATTTCACCTTGTCTCTGCTACGATCGACTGTACCATCTTGATTTGAAAAGTTATATCTATCAGTTGGGAGCAATCTCCCACTGAAACCTTCTAAAGGTAGCCACCGCTGGAATTTATATTATTTAGTTTATTTATGGCTGTATGCTTGTAAGTGGCCTTTATAAAAATTTATTATAACAATATAAACACACACCTCGTTTTCATAAGTTTCCTCCTTTATTCTTATAGGTATGTCTAAGCCGTGAACGTGAACGTAAACTTGACGATCACCGCCAATAGCCCACATAAAGTGAGGCACAGCCGACAGCTGTTTAAATTCAAGGCCTAGATACATGAATTCACGCCACATATTTCCAGATGTTGACAGTCCGAACACACGTCCTTCATTGTTAATAGCATATAGATATGAGTTTGGCATTTTTAATACAATGTAATCTTAAAAAAAAACCTGTAATCAAGTATATGTTCAGCCACAATATGGATATTTTTGACATAATTTTCAGGAAAAACGATACCTATCGATCTTTACCGACAAACACTACTTTCTATGTTCCATAGACAACCATATCGAGAGAAGAAGCATGCCCACTTAGCTATATCACATTGAATTATAGATGACGCATCGGATAAGAGACTTAGTCATTCTCCGGAAACGATTATCATCCCTTTTTACACGATAACTTCTTCCCTTGACATATCAATTGTACCACATACACGATAATTAATCATACATTCATTGTATCTTGCACTACAAATATGACTGCATATAATTAAGAAAAATACGCTCGGTACTGTTCGATCAACATCGTCGCTCAGCGATATCGGAGATAATCAAACCGTTCGAATTGACATTTATCTTGCGGAAGAGAGACTAGGGGCCACGATGCGAGAAAAGACAAGGAATGTTGCCGTAAATGCACGTTTGTCCACCAGTGTCGTCTCTCCGTTCCACTACACGCTCGCAACGCCCATATCAAACCGTTCTACCCTTAGAGCATATACTTACTGGAGGTAGCACGTCTCGATAAAAGTGTGGTCAGGGTGCGAGAGAGAAGGTAGATTAGAGGTGACAGCTATCTCTCTCTTACTGAACGCTCATTGGTTGTTTGCTTAGAAGGAGAAAGGCCTATACGAAAGTTCAATTGTTGCCCAACTCGTCAGCTCGTCTGCTAGTCTGTATCATTTTGACGCGTTTATTATATTTAAACATTTAAGTATGTGTAAATGGTGCTGTTTGGTTGAAATTATTACAATGTCAAAAATTTGTTGCATCCTAAATTGTCGTATGAGACGATCCTGACTGTTTGGATTTATGTTTTCATAAGTAAGTCTATTAAAAATGAAGTTGTGTAGGTTAAGTAAACGTTTTCGTTTTCAGTTTTGGTATCAATAATTTTTATAATTTTTTTTCTTTAGATTTCCATCAGATGAAGTTATTAACAATAAATGGTGCGATGCAATAAAAGATAACTTTGAAGATTGGACTTTAAAGAAAAGTTCATATGTTTGTTCTGTCTTAATTTAATGTTTTGATACTATAATTACTTTTTAATTCATAATTAGGGATGTATTATTTATTTATAGATGTTTTATAATGTTATTTCGTATACATTTATACGTTACAATCTCTCAAAAGTGGGGAGTTGGAATCGACCAATGAGCGTTCAGTAAGAGAGAGATAGCTGTCACCTCTAATCTACCTTTCTCTCTCGCACCCTGACCACACTATTATAACACGGGCAGCATAAGGCACGCTCCCTCCAGTAGTATATGCTCTAAGGTCCTACCAGACGCCCGCGGCATACATTTTAACTAGTTTTGTAACTAGCTTTCTCCGCTCATAAGTGTCGATCCACAATAGATATTTTAAGCCTTATGGTTTCTGTCCACGGCAACGCGTCCTGTGGGCAAAGCCATTATTAAGAAATTAACCAATCACGGTAAATTATTCTCTTCATATTCGACTGTGATTGGTCAATTGTTTAAGGCTTAAAAAACAGGTCCAATAATTCCGTAAACCCGTTATTTCTGTTATTCACTTCCAGAATTTCCGCTACGAGTCGCCACTATACTTAACGAGAAACTAAAGTCGTGATATGACTAAACGCCGGACGTACTTTCCACTTCTCAAGTAGTATGACTGTAGAAGGACTGGTCGGATGTATTTTCTACTGTATTAAAACATAGGCGAAATTCAACAGGCTGTAACTTTCGCAATGCTATTGTTCAAGAAGCGCTTTAAAGCGAGAACAATCATACCATCGGATTGATGTAATGAAAGTATTTTATTATTTCCCCTCGAGTTTCATGATAATTTTGGCCTTTATATGCAACAAACCAACTGTTCTTGGGATTGTTTTTGGAATTTGTCGGATTTATGCGTATTTAACATGCGAAAACGCGATATAATTCGAATTTTTCAGTCTTAATTTTCTTGTATTAAAGCGCGTGCAACTGATATATTACTATTATTTTATGCCTACACCTTGTATATATGTAATTTGACAGATCACCTACTGCGCATGATCGTCAATTTATAGGTTCGCTTCGTTATAATTTTTGCGCGTTCCGAAATATGAGAAGCAGAAACAGTTGCGATCGTTCTGTGGCCGAGTATACTCGGTGAAATAATTCAATGACGGCTATTTTGACTAATAATTACAACTTAATAATAGTTACAAAATAACGCAGTTACGCGCCGCTCATCAACACAGCGCGACCAGTGTTAGATTGATGTTTCCGTAGGTTATTGTTTGCCGAAATGGGACCTCCACCCGTAGTTACTGGGATATCGCCCAAGGAAGGCCCGCCTGGGACTCGGGTGATAGTCCGCGGCGAGTTTTTAGGAAATAAAGCTCAAGATCTTCTAGGTCAGTATCATTGTCGCAAAAAGCTTATTGATTCGTTCAAAAGCCCTTGTTTTTGAATCGTTAACCATTCGTAAGAAGTAACTCTACATTCATCACCATTTATATAAAGTGCAAGAAAAAAGCGGCTACTAATCCGTATTAATTCATGACTCGTTCCACCACACAGTACATTTTAATATTGTATGGTCGTTTAATAAATGTATTCTGCATTGGGTGTAGGACTGACAATATGTGGATGCGACTGCTTACTTTCGGCCGAGTGGAAGTCGTCGAACAAAATTATAGCAAGATCAGGTCCTTGCAAGGGTCGCGGAGATATAATAGTAACCACTCAGAGTGGAGGACAAGGGACCTCGACGGTGCAGTTTCGTGGTTATCACGAAACTATAGGCCCTATGAAGGAATCGGCTGTATGGGTGGAGGAAGCTCCTATGCAGACTATTGTCTGGGGTAGAAGAACATTGTCACCTACAAATTATCAACAGGAGGATCCTTTGGGTCTCAGCGTAGAAGGAAACGAGTATGTCTCTCTGTATTGTCTGTACGATAAGCTCTGCGATTATTATGAGTGACATTGAATGACATATAATAACAATATTTTGTCCCGAAGTAAAAAGTTTCCCGAAGATGAGTTGATCGAACTGTTCGGAGATGGCAGTGGAGATCTGACAAGCGAAAAGTTTCATCCTGGATGGTTTTTATTGCAGCATCATCATGCCACTACTTTGGAAGACTTGAAAGCTGGCTTGGCTTATCTCAGAAGAAAAGTCAATTCCCAAAAGGAAGGCCAACTATCGTTTCTCAAGGTAAGGTGCGCGCGTGTAACAATGTCAAATTTTAAACTAGAATCAAATGTGTTGTCGGTGTGTGAAATAGGCTAATGTGGGAGCAGTGATGGAGCAGCTCGACACGATAATGTCATTAAAGGACCAGTTCGAAGCAGATATGAAGAGTTATGGTAGCGATCCTATGGAGAAATTGGAGAAAGCCATCAAACAGTCTATGTCAGAGGCTAACAAGTTATTCGACGACGTATTGGCGAGAAGGGACAGAGCAGACGCCACGCGTAACGCGCTGGCTGTAATGCAACGTTATAAATTTCTCTTTTGTATGCCGATAAACATCGAGAGAAACATCAAGCGTGGCAATTACGATCTGGTGATTAACGACTATGCCAGAGTGAAAAATCTCTTTAAAAATACGGAAGTGGAGGTCTTCAGGAAAGTGTTGGAGGAGATTGACGATAGAATCAGTAACTTTAAGGTATTATTGCGAAACAAATTGGAACAGATGCCGTTCAATTTAGAGGAGCGTAAGAAAATCATCAGAAACCTCGTCAATCTTGACGTCGAGGGCGATCCAGCGTGGGATGCGATAGGTGCGACAAGAAAAAGAACAATGTCAAATGTTATCTTCTAAATCTCACTTTGAAGTTTACTTGTTGGATGTTTTGTGAATATTTTTTTCCTTTTTTTTCCTCTCTCTTTTTAGTCTCACATGCAAATTATCTGGAGAAAAGTGTCGCCAGTGCCGTGCACGAGCATCTGGACTCGTCAGCGAAGATCAGCGTCAATAGTGACGATACGACGAACAGTCGTTCGTCCAAGTCTACACCTACGATAAACATTAAGCACTTACGCATGCAGAAAAACAATAACAACGACAACTTACCGTCGCAAATCTCATGTGTCGAAACGATTTGCGATATCGTGATAGAACAATTGCCGGATCTTTGGAGATTGGGACAGAGTTACTTCACGGGACAGCTACATGTGGCGGTAGACGTGGAAAAACAGAGTCACTTTAAGGTATGATGAGAACCCCCTCCCATCTACGCCAAACGCTCTTCCTACTCTCGGTTCCTCCTATACGCGAGTTATACTTTGTTTTTTTACATACAAAGTGCTCTCTCGATTGTCTCGACAGAATTTAGTTTTATCGAGTATGCAACACGCCATGGAGGCCATGAAAGATACGTGCAATCATGACGTCGAAGCACTGTGGCTCCTACACATTTTACGTTGCATCAGGCAAATGTACGCGTCTCTGATACATCTGGATCTGCCTAGCGATGCTCTCGATATTTTCGGATCGTTTATACTCGACTTGAGGTATATATATGTATATATATATTCGACACACACGCAGTTATTTACGAGCAATCAAGTTTTTTTAACTCTGTTTTCTTGCATAATACGTGCAGGATACAATGTCTGGTTGCTCTGTTCAAACAAGGAGCGGATAATATAACGGCTCTAAGTCGAAAGGAAACGTGGCAGATAGAATATCTGAACGAAGATGGTGGTGTTACAAAATTGGTATGTAGGACAATTTTGCACAATTTGAGCGAATTCTATATTTTTATACAACTATGTGAATTAATGTATATAAAAAAAAAATCGTCCTATGTCAAACAGCCATATCTGTTCGAGGGAATAGTTTTGGAGATATCGAAGCACGCGCGTGAGACGATAGTTGCTTGTGGCCCGAGGGAGGGTCCCCTCTTTAATAATACGGCCCACCAGATGCTCTATCACAATACCATTAAAACATTATTTACGTCGTTTGCGCGATGTCTACAACAATTAGCGTTTAGCGGTTGCGAAGAAGCTATGGATAATGACGAAACGTCAGTTTCGCAATTGATCGGTTCACCATCCGGTTACAAGAGTAAGACCAACAAACACCAAGGACCGGCAAGTCACGAGAGAATCACATGTTACATTTTTGTTTCTCTCTTTACGCATCTCATGTGTGAATTTCTCTCATCAGACGTGGGAGCAGTGTCTCTTAATCTCACTGAGCAATATACGATACACGCTAAATATCGCTTTACCAAGAATCGAGGAATCCCTGAAAGCTCAAGGCTATCCGGAATTATCCACCGCGGTTGGATGGAGCTCGGATTGGACGCAATTAAAGACACTGGATAGTGCCGTTCTGGATGCGTATCTGGAACGACGTTGCGATCCGCTCGTCGGCACGATCGAACCTAGCATGTACCTGGGCGGTTTGGAGTGGGATTTCGATACTGAGCCGACACATCTAAAACCGTACGCTCAGGAGATACTGGCAAATCTGATCGCAGTCCATGCGGAGGTAGGTCTCATCATCATATTCGGGGGAGATGTAATATTGTTAACATTTCCTTCGTTTCTCTCTCTCTACAGGTGCGCCGAGTTGCGCCGGCTCTGTTGGAGCGGATTTTGTCTCATATAGTGGAGACTATAGCGGAGGAACTTGCGCGGCTCATGTCGTGCGTCACGCAATTTCGTCCGGCCGGAATTGTTCAAGCACGAACGGACATAATACTTTTGAGAAACGCCCTGCAAGCTTACAGCACAAGTAGAGCGAGGTAAGTAAGCGGTGTGCATACAGTCGAATTTTGCGAAAATGTTTTATCAAAACGACCCATTTCCCACGGAATAGAAGTTTCTTCGAGGAGGCTCTGGACGCGATACCGCAGCCAGCCAGCAGAGAAGATCGCGCGCGAATAGACTCCCTTCTGTCGAAAATTACCACATGCATGCGACTGCAACTGTTGTGTCTCGTCAATGAAGGAACGGAAAATATTCGTTACCTGACAGCAGACCCCGAGCGCGTTACGACCGTGTAGTTTGCAGTGACTAAGGTATCTCTTGACAGACAGCGGGTATGTGTATATATATATATATATTGTGTTATAATTTATTCAACCATCTCGATATATTATATGAATTATGTACGCGACATAGATTATACAATGGACGCAGAATGCAAAAACTTAACCTGATTTATCCTTGCCGCGACTTACGTTCACACACAGCGTTCGTTGTGGCTTTTTCGTTCAATCCATCTCATTTTTTTCCATCTCTTGCATATTATGCATGATAATGAAAATAAAAAGACACTAGTAAAGTAAAAGCACAAGTAAAATTCACACGTGAAACTTTGAGTAACTTAAAAAAAAAAAAATATATATATATATATATATATATACCATGATGTAATAACAGATATGTGCGCGCGCGTAAAGAGAAAAGAAGGAAGGACGAGAGAAAAAGACACTTTGTGTTAACCCTTCTTAATTAATTGTAACGTGCCAATGTCTGCGGCTAACAGTACAGTGTCACCTGAAAACAGAGAAACTTGGCATTATTCACAACATCGAGGTTAATAATATACACAGAGATTTATATTTTTGACGCGATTCTTACCCGTTTGAAAGATTTGTGTTGCGTGTTTTGCTCCAACGATGCAAGGAAGACCGTATTCTCGCGCTACGACAGCACCGTGACTTATAAGACCGCCTAATTCCGTTACGATACCGCTTAATAGCGGAAAGTATGGGCTCCAGCCGATGTCGGTGCAGTGCGTGATCAGAATATCTCCGTGCCGTATATTCTTCGCCTCGGACAAATCCGTTATTACACACGCTCTGGCCATCAGAGAACCGCCGTAGACCGAAGTACCTTCTACTTTGGTGTTATCTCCGTACGATGTGGATACGTCGAGAGTCTTCTGTGCGATGAAGACAGAATCTCAGACACACTCAGGAGGGTACGACAAAAGAAAAAAATAATTTCTTGACAACAACAAACCTGTATCGGCATGGGCATACCGGTGCAAAACTCTGGATATTCCACTTTTGATAATTGGTGATAAATTTTCCTTCTACGCAACGCCCTAAGTAAGTTACACAATATAGAGAAGGAGAGAATATTTTATGACACGATAATTCGACATTCGACGATGATTCAAACTTACTTTCGCACTATTAACGGATTGTGATGATTGTTCAAGAGTTGCGCGATCTCATAATTCGTCAGGAAAAATATGAGATTCTTATCGGGCATGTAATTTTCCTGCACCATCAAAGTACCTAGCTGTATGTAAGCTACTCGCATTTTGTGCAGCATGGACACCATAAAGTTCTTTGTCATTTCTCTACGGGTGACTGCTTTACGAGAAAGAGGTATCACCTTCTGTAGAATCCATTTGATGAACGACGACATAGGTGTTTTCAGAGACGCAATGGTGTCTTGAACGTTGAGCGTTTTGCTCACGTAATTCTCTTCGATGGATGTCGCCAATGACTAAACATAGAATATGGAAACGTAAATTATGTATATGTACGAAAAAGGAATATCGAGTTATATACATCTCATACTTGTATCGTGTTAATGATACTGTCGGGTTTAAGTATCCACGGTTCCGAGATGAAATCCAGCTCCTGAACGCATCTATGGCCGTGCATATCGTAGAAGACCACCAACTTTTCCGCAGCTGGAGGACAATTTGACTTTAACCAATCTATGGCACTCGCTGGCTCGACCTTAGCAAAGTCCTCTGCCTTGCCGTATTTCCGGATGCAGGCCGCTATTTTGCCGAGTGCTATCGGTACTTCGGTGCTGATAACGTTGGTGCAGGAACTCAATAGAACGGCAATGTCTGCGATATGATTAGATATGATGTCCTCACTTTTCGCAGTCAGAAGCGTCATTGCTAGCATCTGATAACAGACGCTCACTCTCGATGTATGGGTATGATATATTCCTAACTGAAACAGTAAAATTAGTAGAGTTTACTGTCAATGTAAAACAGACGAATGAAATCACATTTCCATGCACACATAGATCTCATGTATAATGCGATAATGCGCGTTGTAGATTTAAAGGAATATCGTGAGGTAACCCTCTCCCCTTCCCATACTAGAAGGAATCGGTACATCAGCTTACCATGAAGATCTCTGTATATTTCTTGTTGATAACACTGTATAGCTCACGGGCTGTTTCAAATTCGTTGGCGTTCAATTCGTACTTTCGATACACATTAGTAGCTTCTTTCACAATTCGTTCGTTTATCCACGCCCACTTGAACATATTGCTAATGTCGCTCATCTTCTGCTTCATACTTGCGACACCGAGTTTCTCCACGGCAATCTTGTGCACCTCAGGAGTTGTTATCACGCGCCCGCAAATGGCTATGTCTGCCATTTTATTCGCCATCGTGATCTTCTCGCCAACATTTCGTAAGAATGTCTAGTGGGAAAAAAAATAAAAAATAAAAACCCCAAAGAAAACGATACATCGTTGACCGGTGAACGAGAAATTGATGCAGGTTACTTACCATGCAGTAATTCATAGCGCATCTCATACCGACCACATGAAGATAGTTGCAGTCGTAACCGTAACTCTTGGAGCCAATCGACAGATTCAAAACTTTTAAAATGGTAGTGATCGACAAGGGGCAAATAGGACGCGGCAGTACTTCTCCGACGTTGGCGAAAGTCATAAAATCGACATCAGCGGGCACACCCGAATCTAGCTCGTGCGTAAGCTCAAAGTCCGTCCAAGCGTCGATAGTGGTGATAGGTCGTGCTTGCAGCAGATAGATCTGCTCACCGACAATCGCCCATTCTATATCCCGAGCGGATCCAAAGAAAGATTCGAGATGCAAACCTATCTTGGCCAGTCGCAGAGCGGTTGCGTCAGATATTGAGATTTCCCAAATTTCCCGTTCACTGAGATTATTCATGATCACGCCGTCGACGCTCAGTGATATCTTATGCCCTTTATTCCCCGGCACTGAGGAGCTCACAGTCAGAGTGTTGTCCCATTTCCTGTGAATCGTCAAAGTGTCGGGTTCGACCGTCCCTGACACCACCGTCTGCGAGAGAGAGAGAGAGAGAGAGAAAGAGAGAGATCCGTACATTTCAAGACACAGCATTTTCAAGAGACAAGATTTCACACAGAGGCTTATCTCTCTATCATTTATATCGACGGTCGAAACGTGCCTAAACGAGAGATGTATATCATTCTCGATTGAAACAGATCGTTCGTTCGAATATCCTCTCATTACTAAATCTTTATTATCGTTTATAGCCTCGAATCAATGGCCTCTAGATTGTGAGACGATACCTCTCCTAAGCCGTAATTGGCTGTAATAATAATGCTGGACGGATCTCCAGTTGTGGGATGTCTGGTGAACATAACACCGGCCGCTTCTGCGTCGACCATTCGCTGAACGCAAACGCCCATACACGCTTTTATTGGCAATCCATTCTGCCGTCTGTAACATTAATTGACACGCCGTTCACACTCGCTAGGTAGAAGAGGAGTGAGAATTACCTGTACTCGACGCTCTGATACGAAAACAGACTGGCCCAGCACTTGGCGACGCTCCTAATAACGTCGTCGGTGGTGCGTACACCTAGATACGTCGAATTCTGACCAGCGGCCGAGGTTTCCTCGCTGTCTTCCCCGACAGCGCTGGATCTCACGGCGTAGCGATTGTTCATTCGGTCTTTATTATTCTCGTCGTCCAACTCCTTTAAAGCCTCCAGTATGGCTTGTTTCACTCGCTTCTCGACGATAGTGTTCTGAATGACAAATACCGTTCTAAAAAGCAAAAATGGATCTCACACAAACAGGAACAGATGTGTGCAATTTCACGAAATTACAATTTAGTTTCTTTGCTCTCTCACTCTCTCTTAAACGCTCACTTTTTACAATAATTCTCGAGATCCTCTTTCTTTTTGCCACAACTGATATCCACTATATCGGCGATCATATCCCGCAACTGTTTGTCATGCTGCAGTTGCCATTCCAGAGCAAAGCTCGTTACGCAGAAACCTCGGGGTACCACAAACTGTGCGTGCGTGCGTGCGTGCGTGCGTGCGTGCGTGCGTGCGTGCGTGTGTGTGTGTGTGTGTGTGTGTGTGTGAGAGAGAAAAAGGACGAAATTAACATTCCAATTGTGACGAGGACATTTCGGATAATCGCACTGTGAACACATCAACGTACGTCATTGGTTGTGATGGACGTTAAAGTCGCAAGTGAATATCCCTTTCCGCCAACGACGCTCTCATTCTGACATTGCTTATCAGCAAAGTGCAGAACAAAACTACACTTCAGCGTCTCTGGTCGTTTCAAGTGCTGAATTCTTGCGATCGGTGTCCTCATTTCATTCGGTCCGGTGTACGGATAGCACACGATCATCACTCCAGCGCCTGCGTATGAAAATGAAAAACTTGCACAAAGTCACGTGGAAAAAGGGGGGAAGTCGTATACATCAATTTTTTCAAAATATAGATTCTCAAGACGACGAGATCGCGTAATTTTACGTAGCGCATACCTTTGCTGCCGTTCAGTTTTATACGTAAATTGCGGATTGTGATCGCCCAACGCCATGGTTGTCCATTATAATAATTTATAGCGTCGTTCCCCATGTGATTGATAACGGCATCATACTCGACATCAGCCGCTGAAACACGCGCGCGCGTATTAACATTTTATGCATTGAAATTGTGTTGATAAAAGAAACGAATGATTCGAAATAAAACCTCGAAATTTAATCCTGTAGTTTGCGGGAACGTAATCTCCCTGCTTCTCAAAGTCCTCCATTTTCAGATCCGTCCAGTCGATTTTGGATTGCATCTCGGTCGTATTATTCACGTGGCCAAATCGCATGCTGTAAAGGATAAATATATTAACGTTACGTCACACGGTAATTACGTTAAATGATAATAAAAATGTCGTCATCCAAACGAATCATCAAAATCTCATATTCTTCGTCGTACAAGAGATTCCAGGAAAACAAATGCTATTTTATTGTACTTGTCATCTTACTGTGAAAAACTATTTTTGGTTCTGCTCACGCCAAGGTGGTACATTGCCCCTGATGCCGCTACACCGAGAAATGTGACCGTTCGGCGGAACTGATCAAATTCGTGTTTGCCCCAACGTCGCTGGCAAAACCCACGTAAATACAATGCACTCGTTGTGGAATCCTTGAATGTTATCTGTCCGATGGCGGATCCCCATTGATCAAATCCCGTATAATCGAGTAGTTTGCTGCGATAACAAGAGGAAACATATAGAGATGCGCGTTCCTGAGCGATAACCAGCTTGCATCAATGATCTATTATCGGTGAAGTTAATTGAGGTGAAATTTGATACATTTTACGCATCCAATCGGGACCTTTCCATGGCTCGTGTGCCAGAGCGGCCGCGTGCAATCGAGTACTCCAGTCACCCGGCCATTCAAACGGAGAATGCCCGATAAATCTAGAGAGAAAAAAACACAATTGTAGATATATGTTGGGAGAATCTCTTTTTCGGAACATTTCTTTATATATATATATGTGTATAATTTCGCGTTCCTTGCTCACATGAAATTTAAACGAATATGTTCCATATTATCAAGTACGTTGTCTAAACTCTGATTACGGAGAAGACCGTTGTAAGTGATTCTCCAACGTTTTCGTGGTTCTAACGGCTCGATTTTTAGACCCGATGCCGACCATTTCTGGCCGGCACTATCGTCCATCGCAACTGTATGAGGATAATCTGTAGAAAACGTTTAAAATACTTCAATCTCTCTTTTTCTCTGTACATTTCTGGCTTGTTGCGCAGTCGTTATTTCACAAAAAAGATTTTATCGGTACACCTTAGTTGTTAGAATAAGCAAAACTCACCGGGTAACACATAGACCCGGCCATCCGACAAAGTCACTTGCAAAACTGATTCCGCTGTGCGATATCCTCGATGATTCATTTTAACAAATAATGAATGACCTTTCTGATCCGCGCCGTAGAAAAATACACCGTCGCAACTCTAAACATCACAAGAATGTGTTGAGACATGTCCGTTTCATGTGTGTAACACAGTCGCGCCTTCTACTCACATTCTCGTCCATGATAATTTGTGGATTATCCGCGTAGGGTTTGAATATCTCCTTTAAATTGGGTGTTATCTCGCCAAATTTATTTTTCATCTTTTTCTCCTTAGAAATACACCAAAGTGCCCACCATAGTTTCAGAGAAAATTGTACATCTGTAAGATCCGCGAGCGATTTTAATATACAAACGCATACTTTATCAGTTAAACTGGCTATTACGCGCGCGTTTGTTTCTCTCGCGTGAAATTGATCACGAATATATATATATATATATATATATATATATATATATATATATGTGCCAACAGTGTGTGGTGTCGTACGCGCGCGCATACACACACACGCGCTAATGCCTTTACAAATATACTAATTCGAGATCGTTATTCATGTATAATCCGGTTATATGATATAATCGACGCGAAAAAAGTAATTTGTCATCTCTTATGATACTGCTTGAAAGAGAGATATCCGTTAACATCATTTGAACGTGTGACTTACCTAAACCTAGATAAAGTGAAAGCTGGTGTATCTTGCGCTTGTCAAACCAGAGATATATCCAGATAGGAAGGATAGTCAGTATTATGACTTGTATGCAACATATAATATATTCCATCGTTGATGCTATCAACGACACGTTGCAAGTGGCTCACGTCTGCAATATGAGTACCTGATTATGCTACCACAATCGAATCACACGAACGCGTCACCGTGTTTGCCACGGGAATATCTATCTGCCGTGTCATCACAAAACTCCGGCAGTGATATTCTTTTTCATACATAGAGATTTTTTCTTATCGCGTGTTAAGCAATTCTTTCACGGGTTATCATAGTCAAGTTTTATCACTGTAATTTATAACTCTTAGAATGTCAATATAATGCCCAATTTAAGTAAGATAATCACGTACCTTCAGATAGCACGATGACGCGTGACTGCCTCCGAAAGAGCACTCGCACGAATGTAAGAATGAGCCGTTATCTAGCACAGTTTCTTTTCTTACCAATATTAACTGTTACATAATCTTATAACTGTTCCTTCATCATGGTGGACTTTGGAACATAAATAACTGATAAACCGATATCGCTGTTGTACCGATTACAACTTGTCGATGACTTTAATATTAAACTTTATATCTGTCATCAAGATTCGACTGGTATAAATTCGCGAGAAGCGGACGACATGCCGTGGATGCTAAGAAAAAAGAAAACCTGTATATTTGTCTTGTAACATCTGTGTGTATTATTTAAATTTTGACAATAATGGTATAAGTACAACTTCCCAGTAACATTAAGTAAAGGTGTTGATGTGCTGAGTCTTAGGCCGTGAGGAAGGACATGACAACAAATAATTGTACGAATACTCTATCGATCGCTGCTATTAGTTTGTTTTCTTACTGACGTCACCAAAGCCAACGGTTTCCTCTGTTACCGTATCGATGCGTGACTTATCCACTGGATATAACCTGTGGGTAACATTGACGAATTTTTCTCTCTACTCGAAATATCGACCTCCAATAAACATCGTGAAATGTAATGAATAAAGTTGCGCAAATAAGCACTCACCATCTTTGATAGAGATAAATCAGGAAGACTGCGTCGTCTCTGAAACAGGCTATTCTGTGTGCAGTCGGCATTGTTATGATAAAAGCGAACACGTCGTCGATGAACGTGTTGAACGCTTTGTACATGAACGCCCGCCACGGCAGATGTGCCACGGACTTTAATTTGTAATTAACAAACAATTGCGGCAGCATAAACAAGAATCCGAAAGCGTAAACTCCATTCACCAAGGAATTAATGGTCCACGAGTACCAACTGCAATTAATCAGCCATGACAGTTCATTCGTTGTAACTCATATGCTCTGAATGAATAAAATCCTATCGTGCGCGCGTCGAGTTTCTAAGTCATCTTTTACCTCTTGTGCGGTTGATAAAGAAGCGAATAAATTGCACCGCCAATAACTATAGGATACAGCAGATAACTCAGATAACGCATGCTCTCGGCATCGAACTCTCTGGTTTTTACTTCCGCTGCATTGATGTCGTCGGTTTTGAATCGTATCTTTGGCAAAATACCGTAGCACACGATTAGTTCCATTCTTGACATCTTTTTCAATTTCCACAGCTTCAAGAGAAAAAGATGTATGTATACATGTGTGATAAAGCGATTTATTAAATACGCCGACAGATTAATCGTCTCGTATAATACTAGTCGTGTTAAATTAATATTGCGTACGCACCTCGATAATACTGCCGATACCGGTCGGAATGAGAATAAGCAAGGAAGACTCCTCGTCGCAGAGGTAAAGGAAAATTATGGTCTGACTGAATGCACGCCACATCACGGTCCACTTGCTGAGACCTATGAGATTACTCTTCTTCCGCCAAAAGCTAATGTCATTTTTGATGGCGAGAAAGTCGAACAACAACTGTAACAATACGGGTTCTTCTTCAAATGTTCTTTTTATGCGCTCTTCACATCTGCAAATTATAACACACTCACGTGCACACCAGCGATGAAGACAGTACCGCCTAATAGATAGATGTTGGTGTCTGCAAAGATACCCTTCACTTCGTCAACGTCCTTGTCGGAGATGCCAATGTTCTTCAGGCTTGCTATGGCCGTTTGCACGTGTAATACCAATCTCAGCTTTCCCAAAGATACAGGCGAATATTCCACCGTGACGTTCATCGTGTTGTTGTTTTGCGGCACGATCCGTTGGAGATCTCGTTGCCGGGTTTGCAAAAAGTCACAGTTAACGATCGGCAAAAATGTCATCTTACCAATCAGCCTACGAATAAACAAATTAAAGTCCGCCAACATGTGTTTGCAATCCAATTGAGAGAAATAACTTGTATACTTTATGTGATTGATGAGTTCAATAGGCATGCTGTTCATAGGAAGCATAACATCGTCCGTCATTATTGTGAATGTCACGCGGCTCTTGATGTGCGAGACTGGATGTACTAAAGCATCCTTTGTACCAGGATTCTTTTCACCCAACAACTTGAACACTTCAGCTTCAGGTACTGTGTATTGTGTCATTTTAATAGCGGTATATGACGTATATGTATCCTGGAACAATCAAAGATAAACTAAACAAGGCAGGAAACAGAAGGGTAAACTAATCCCAATGAAAATTATACGTCGTCTTACTTTTTTCAAATCGATGAACGATCTACTCTGATCCACGAACATAGGTACTAATAGTATGTGCAGAAACAGCGTACCATTGTCCTGCGTTTTGCGTGGAATGTTCAATGTTGTTGGACTGGAAGGAAAGAATATATTAAACTTGATGAAGATGTGCTTCGATATGGAGAATGCTTACATGGTCTGTGCTCGAGTGTAATCGAAATTATGCGCCGTGTATGCAAGGTCGGCGTCCCTGGATTTTTTCGAGACGGAGCTGTAAATATAGAGATTCAACTGCGGTCGCTCGCTCAAATAAGACTTGAGACATTGCTTGCCATCCTCGCAGGCTGGTGACACAAACAGCAACGACAACGAGTAAATCGAGTAAATGATATATGCCAGAAATATCTCGGAAAGTATAACGCTGAACGAGAACCACTGCATTTTTGAAGGAAGTAACACACACATACGTTGCGTGTGTATCAGGAATATAGAAATGGCATTATCCTATCGGCTAGTCTGCGGCCGATAACGGACCTGCGAATGACACGATTACAATCAGGTATTCTTCCAATCTCGTATGCAACGCTGACCACTGACCACTGATATTGATCGTGTCGCCCAAGTAATATTTGCGTGCGTGCATTCCTCGACGTCACCTCTACCACGAGTATATTTAAAAAATGTATCGCATTGATAAACTCACAGCTGATCAATTAACGCGAGCGGACGAAACTTTCTGCTACTGATTATCGGTTTGTTGTAATACAGATCGACTCTACCGATACAATCATACAACTCCCGTTGCCTTCCTTCGCCTCCCGAGGGCGTTACTTGCATGCAAAATTGGCGCGTAAGCCATTTCAAACTGACGATCATTTCCCCGGCTGAGATGCGTAGTAACTAATTGCTCGTATTAATTTAACAGAGTGTCGGTTAATTGAAACAACGAGTGATTATTCGAGGCGTGAAAGAATTCCCAAACTGGAGAGGTAAGAACAGGATATTCATATTTCTCTTCCTATTTTTCATTCTCTTCTTTCTCTTCTAACCTCAATGTTCACGAGATAAAAATCAACTATATATATATATATATATATATATGGGGATAGGGAGGTAGAGTATGAATCTCTTGTGTGTGGGTTGATTTGGTTCATATTAGTCCTTTACACGGTGAGAAATAAACTATAGGAATTATTTAATATCGAGTGCCTTCTTCCGCAATTTTCGTCTCGACAAGAAGCTCGCGCGCATAGCGTAATTTTTTTCAAATGACACAGATTTTTCACAAGATGGAAGTTTATCGGAATAATCTCTCGCCGTTCACCAGCAATCGACGGGGTGAGCACACCCCTGAAGTTCACGACGAGCGTGCGCAAAGTGCACGCGCGCGAGCGGAACACACGACGGTGTACCGTTGCGGAGGGCCCAGAGAGCGCGTCTCCTACGGAGCACAGCTGGCGCGGGCCGTCAAGATGTAAAACGTGCGGGGATGTCATGTTAGAGAGCTGGTTGGGCCCGTGAGAGAACGAGAGCGCGGGGGAGGAGAGGAGAGCATGATACACTGAGAATGGAGTAGCTGGGAATCGATCGTCCGTACGATAGTTGGCAATGGAGGACACGAGACTGGGGTAAGTACCGTGTCGTCGTTTCCGGTAGCTACATGCGACCTGCGTTCGTTTACGGGAGGAAGCCGAGGGGAAAAGTAGGGCGTCGGGGGTGAGATGTCGGAGCGGGATGGTCGGGCGGCGGGGATGGTTGTCCTGCTTTCCGCCGCGCCGAACCTCCGGAGTGATTCTCCACAGCGCGGAGGGTAGGCGAGAAGAAGAACGGTGGCAATGTCGGCTCGACGACGGTGTGTGCGCGTCGACGAGAAAGCACTGTCGGAGCAAGAAGTGTTTGGTGATGGTTAACGGTGGTGAAACGACACCTTGAAACGCCTTCTCGAGGGAAGATGAATCTCGAGTGAGTTGAAACGGAGGGACCCCGGTGTCAGCTTTCCGATGCACGCGAAGGACGATCTTTACCTCGCGTTTACCATTGCAAACGAATGATTCCCAAGTGAAATAGCCAGTAGGAATATATGCACGTTTCGAAACTTCATTTTTGAAAATACACGTATTGGCACTGATTAACATCGACACATTCATCACTATTGGCAACACTCTCTGAGATTTTTCGTTCGCCCTTTTATGTCTGAGATACGTGACGATCGTCTGCGGCATCGAGAGATCTGACATTATGCCGGTCACTTCCACGAACACCACCCTCGTCACAGCCAATCTCGGACAAAGGAATTATTTGTGCAGAAGAATGTTCGGCATGATTAGTGCGTGTGATTTCGTACGACTCTATTTCATTCTCTTGTCTGATCCTTTACAAAATGAAATATAATTATTGGCCGGCACTATACGCAGGAGAAATCTCGGCGAACGCCGTATATGCCGTATATGATTTGGTGGAAAACGGATTGTTGAGACTCCATCGACTTTCGCGCGACTAATCGTCGTCGTCTAGTATTCCTCTTCATCTATTTGCGATAGGCCTTCCGACTTGTAATTAATCATCGTTGCGCGGAGCACGCGGATACTCGTAGAAATTGAAACCGCGGAATAATCACGTTTGATTCACCGTGCAAAGGACAAATTCAATGGTCTCGCAGAATCATCCGTTTTCTTCGGTTTTCCAGAATAACGTTCGCGTGATTCTCTCTCGATCTTTTTCGTACCTCTCTATCCAAATAACGCGGCTAATTATAGAAGAATGCTTAATCGAGCAACGGAACGCTTTGTAGCTTACGCCACGATTATCAAGAGCGGCGGTGAAAATTGCTACGAAATTTCATCGATATTTTTCTTTCCTCCGCAGGATGAGGATAACCGTGAGCTCGATAGCGCTTCTACGTGATAATCCGTGGTGTATTTTCGATTTTCACACTGGGAGATGCAGCGATGCATCCAGCCGACTTCTTGCTTCTTCTTCTTCTTGCTTAAAGATGTGCCATAGCTCTTCTGCTCTCGGCAAAGCCAGGAGAATCGCGAGAGCAGGCGCGTAGACTCGCATTCGCACTACGCAGGCGATGCGCTATAAATAGAAGAGCCTTATTAACGACTGCACAACGTGCGACCAGATGCATCAGGTAAAGCAGACAGTGTAAACAGGTGTCCCGCGGACAGATTCCCCGCCGTGTGAATTCAATCTTGGGGCGAGACATAAAGGCTTCGCGAGAGAGATTGAAGTCAAATTCACGGGAAATGATGGTCGCCGTTCTCAATTGTTCGACCCTGTCTCTCTCGAAATATCACGGAACGAAGCTACTCGCGATAATGTCGTCCGACGACGTTATCATTAACGACCCTAACGAACGGACGGACGAAGACGCGTGTAATAATCAGCTGTCCAGCTTTTGGCCCTCTGAATAACAGAGTCTTCGTGGGGAAATATTATATTGTCGCGTTTAAAATCGAAATCGTCGACTTATCATCGTTATTGTCTGTCATTGCGCGATTCTAAACATCAACTCTTGTTCACCTCCTTGAGTCGCGCGTCGTGCGGAACGAGCTATGATAATTACCACCATTTATACGTTCTAATATGGTGTCGTCCAGGGAGTAGGGGGTGCAATTTCGCTCTGTGCATGCATCGACGATCCGGCGAGACTTGCCAATTTCTTCGACGCGACGAGGCTGTTTGTCGAGCATTTTCGGCCGGCTGATCAATCGATTCAAAAGGATAACCTCACGGTCTGCGAAGCTTGCTCTTTTTTACTACCGACGGTTACGGTGAGTTTGTCGCAATTCCGACAACGCAATGTCGCCCTTCTCAATTTTTTAGTTCAATGTTTCAGACCGATGACGTTTCTCGTCTCGTTTGTGTTATCGGAAATCAAGCGCGAGCTGCTGTTTCAACCGTGATAATTTACACAAACGAGTCGCACGGCAAATCGAACTTGGGAAGCGGCGTTTGAATTGCCCGCGCATTTCTTCCTCGCCCGGCTGAAACGTGCAAACTTGAAGATAAATAAATTACTGTTTAAATTTATAACTTTGAACTGTCGGCAAAAAAAATGCGTTTGGTCACGAGGATGGAACTCGCCAGAGTTATGCCAGCACCAAATCTTGCTTTCGAAACGTATGTTTCCTTTAATTGAAATTGACAAAGTACGTCTGTCAAATAGTCGCGTTCATTTTTCTAATACCAAGAAATTAATTTCTTCTGTTTGACGGTATGAAACGGAATGCGCAATTAACGTAATTCTTCTGCCACCTTTATGATCAATTGGCACCGCGCGTTAAACGAGTGAATCGTTCAAACGACGGATAGTCTCAAGCTGGAAAAGTTATTGTCGTCCGAGTTTTATATCGCCGGTTTATAGTTTGATCCGAGAGGCTCCTTCGTGTCGGTGCGAGACGTGCCGTTCTCACGTTTTCCGACAAGACGGTATTTAAGAGTAATTGCATACCTGACCGAGAAACGCACAATCCTTCGTCCACGCTTTTCCGCGAGAAGGAAAGGAGAGAGAGCGGATAAATTGTATGCGGAAACCACTCTTAAATTTGCCGGTGAATGTCCTTCGGATCTGCAGAATCACTAATATTGTATCACTTACGAGGATAAAGCATTAATTATCCATCAACTTCCGATACTTGCATAATTAATGCATAATTAAATCATCGGTGTAAATAGCGACTAATTTAATATAGTTATTCTTTTGACGTAATATTTTACATTTGCGTGCGCGACCACACTGTTTGAGCCGGCTTTTAAACAATCGCCGATGTATGTAAATCAGCAGACGTTCCCCCTCGGTGTCGTGTGTTCTAATGAATGCGTCCTTGGTTCAAATGTTTCAGCGATTGACCGCTTGTAAGCAGCTTGTTCGCAGGCAATTGTTTCAGCATAATACTGCGATTGTCGTGACTTGATTTTGACGTATAGTGGTGAACAGAAAACTTGTTTTTCCAAATAAGTTTTGGAACCAATAGGAGAATTTGTCTCTTAGTTATTCTCAAGAGATACGTTCTCCTCCTTGGATGGACGAAACTCATCGAAATAAAAGGGCTGCAACCTTTCCGTTCACCGCTGTACAATAATCTGTGTGTGCTTGGGAGATTTAGATGAAAAAAAATATACATAGAGCGACAGTTGAAATTCCTCGACACACATGATGTATTTGATGAATCTTTATTTGCAAAATGAAAGGGATATATACACAAATAGCTTTGTTGTTCGCTGCAGGCAGCGTTATGAGGAGTTTCTTAAGGTTTATCAAGCGAGAAATCTCGGTTGCGCGAGGCGTCGTGCAATGTTAGCACCTGTTGGCGCGTTATTATATAACGCGAGAGAACTACCATGTAACAACGGCGAGCGTGACAACTGGCGTGCTTTTTTTCTCCATGCTGCACCGACAACGTTTTTCAAAGCTTTTTGCGCGAACACTTGGTCGACAGGAATTAAAAGAGACTCGCCCTTTCGACTTTTCACGTTTTTCCAGCATCATCGTGGTCTGAGCATTCGAAAATGGCGTCAGGATTGCCGAGCGCTCATCAGAGGAAGCTTGGACCAGCGCCGATAGCATCCTTCGAAGACCTGTCCGACGAGGTGGAAAACGTGAGTCCTACCCCGAGTCCTCCCTGACTTTTTATCCTCGACAATCCGCAACTAGTTCACACTGTCTCTTCCATCCCTCCCCCCCCCCCCCCCCCC